TCCAACCAAAACGATTCTATGATTCTATAACTGCGATGAGCATAGCACCAGATACTTCTTGCTGAGTAATCAAAATAAACATTACCTATGTAATAAAAATTGGGGGGGGTGTGTGTTAATTTTAAATTCAAAATTTCTCTTTCCTTTTCAAGACCCTATGTTGTCACGAATTGTAAGAGGAGATTATCTCTCTGTGTTTGAATACGCTCCTTCTAGACGTGTGAGACTTTTTACAGGTGCCTTCAACCAAATTGTACACAGGTAGATACTAGGACGCTGCTTCACCCCACGTTTGTCTGGCATACTCTTCTCCTAAAGCTTGTGTGCTGGTGCCTCTGTTGGTCTAGTTCGTAGATTTGGTTTGTTTGTGATGTTCTGCGGACTGAAGGGCCATGGGCTCCCTGGGCTTCAGCAGCACGGGTAGTGCTGGCCTAGGCTAGGCACGACGAGGAAACAGAGGCTTAAACCGCCGGATGGGTGAGCGCGTGCTGCTTCGTGTGTGTAGGTGCAAGGTGTGGTGTATAGAGAGATGGAATTGCTGTTATTTTGAAATGGTTAAAATTCCACTGTTTGCCTTACAGGCTTAAAACAGGGTGTAAATTAATACTTTAATTTTTCTGTTCCTGTTAGAATAAGCTATAAAACTAGTAGTGGCACTTATTTTGGGGGGAAAGAAAGAGTGGCAATTATCCATAGTGAAGTCTCCTGCCCTTGCATGTGAATGGAAAGCGATGAGCCCTATTGCCTGAAGTGGTTAAGTGTGATGCTTGGGGCTTGTAATGCTTCCACTGTGCGGTGCCAGCTCCTCTCCTGGCAGTGTCCTGCCCTCTGTGGAAGAGCACACTTTTCCAGTCCCTTGGCTCAGCTTTGCTCCTCTCCCAAGGCTTAACAGATCAGAAATGTTGCTAGAACATCACTTGGTGATCAGACACCTTTTTAAAACAAGTATCTTTTCATTTTTCCTGATCAGAATGAGCTCTATGGCTCATTATAATTAAACTGTCAGTTAAACTGTTGTTGGATTACTTTCACTGGACTGTTATTCAGTAGCAAAGTAACTTTAATGAGTTTTTTAAAACTTAGTCTGTGAAAGCGTTCTGCTCTGGTTACTAAAGAGAAATTTGAAAGAGGAATAGGCATTTAATTTTATTTAAATTTAAATGATGCTTTTGATGATCAAAGCTGATTTTTTTTCTTAAAGACAAATGTCCTATGAGGCTTGTTTCCCTCATGTGTGAGAAAACCGTGTCTTCCATCTGCTGGAGAATATAGGAAGAGCTCATCCCCCACTAAAGATGAGCTCTGAATGCCAAGGTCAAGGAGATCCTGCGGTTTATTTATTGTGTGTGAACAGGCTGCACAATAATAAATTTAGGAGAGGGATCCAGCGTCCTGAAATGCTGGTACCAAAGGTTTCCTCACTGGATGACTTCAGATCCACAATGGTGTTTGATATTTGCTCATGATAGAATGACTTTAGGAGATGATGCCATTTATTTGTAGCATGCAGGGATGTTTCTTGCATGAGAAAAATACTGACATTTCTTCAGTTACATAATACTTGTGTATACATTGAGTTTAAGTGGTTCCACAAGAGACAGTATTTTAAAATATTCTCTAGAGTGGCAAGAGTTCTGTGATCACCATGTAGAGTTCCACAGGGAAGAGAGCAGAAGAAAACCTCGTGGCAGCAGCTGGGATTTGTGGGTTGGAAAATGCTTAATTTGCTGTTCTAATTACACTCTTTACATCCTTCTGCACCAGGACTGGAATTACCTTGACAGTAATGCCAGTAAAACAACATTTATTTTTTTTTTCAATTAGGCACCTTACTGGGGGGGGAAATACAGTAGAGGCCTGATGAGAATCCCCATGAAGCAGTATTACTGTCAGCATCCTGGATTAGTTTGTAGGTTGAAACTAGGAAATTATCCACTTACCTTGTAATTACTGGGCTTATTTGTGCTTAGGCTTTTGTTAACACTTTAATTTTAACTTTTATTTCTGCTGTGGTTGAAATGTGTATTTATGCGGTACCGTCTTTCCTTTCAGCTCCTCCCCTTCTGATGCAGAGTTTGATGCAGTTGTTGGGTATCTGGAGGATATTATAATGGGTAAGCTCTGCAAGCAGTTAGAGACAGCAGGATGGGTGCTAAACATATTGCAAACTGCTCTTCTGTTAGCAGACATACAGAGCCAAAACAGCCCCTGCCTGCTTCATGGAAGCTTTCCTTCCTCTGTTCCATGACCCCAAACCTGGTAGCGTAGTAAAACTATGCACAAAAGTCTTTTGTGTGCTGTTCGCACAACAGTGTGCATATGAGTCTTAAAAATTATTCCCTGTACCACTGCAATGCACTCCTTCATAGACAAACACTAAAGACGTTTGTAAATCTCACATAGAAATCAAAGCTCTCTGGAATTTTTATACCCTTTTATAAAGGGGATATGAGACACTGTGAGAGGAGCCTTCCCTTCCCCAGCTCTGCCTCAACCTCTCCTATCCTGCTTCTCATTTTCTTAGGAGCTGCCATGCTTTGAGCAGGCAATTTGCTGTAGTGCCTAGCTGTTGCGACTGCAGGCACCCTTTGTAACCTGCAATATAAAGCGCTCGTGCTGCAGTTTAAGCGTGTTGTTCCTTGTCCTGCCTCTGCTGAACACAGAGAACAGTTTATTTCCTCTGTTTCTGCAGCAACATTGCATAACTGGAGGTGGCTGTCATCACGTCTCGCCGCTTTTCACTTTTTGAGACTATCCTGAGTGATTTTGTAGCGTGTAACTTGTACGTATGCATGCATACAGTT